TAGTCAATATGTATCTTCAGTAGTGGGAAATACTTTGACACTATGCAAATCTTTTTTCTCCCCAAAGTTTCATCCACTAATTTTAGCATCTATCAGTGGATCTTGTCTGAAACAACTATTACTGTGGTGTTTGCCTAATGACCATTTTCTACATCCCTCTTTCTGTCTACATTTAACAATTGGAATCCTACTGTAAGGAAGAGTTGTCCCTTCCTCCCCAGGAAAAGATTTTTTAAACAGAACAAAAATGCAATAGCCATAAAAGAAAAACACTGGTAAATGAGCTCCACTAAAATTAAGAACATTTCTTCATTATTAAGACATCATTAAGAAAGTAAATAAGAAGCTATAGGCTAATAGATATTCTCTCTTTCTCTGTCCGTTTCTGCCTCTCTCTCTCCCCCTCCACACACACACATATGCACACATATGTTTATATACACAAAAAAAGACTTGTATTCAAAATATATCTAAAATACCTACAAATAAATAGGAAAATGGCAAAAAAAACTCTAAAAATGGACAAAAGATTTGAATAGACACTTCATAAGAGTATATCAAAATGGGCAGTATCATATGAAAAGATGCTCACATCATTATTTATCAGGAAAACGCAAATTAAAATCACGAGATACCACTCCACCTGCATCTGAATGGCTAAAATTCAAATGATTGACAATAACAAGTGTCAGCCAGTTTAAGAAGTAACTGGACCCTTCACACATTGCAGTAGGAATGTAAATTAGGTCACCCACCTCCACCCCAGCTATACACCCAGGAAAAACAAGACCATGTGTCCACAAAAAGACTTGTACAAGAACGTTTTAGAATGTTTTATTCATAATAGTCAAATACTGGAAACAACCCATCATCAGGAGAATGAATAAACAAACTGTGGTACGGTCATACAATGGAAGACTACACAACAATGGGGGGGGGGACCTACCGATTCACAAAACAACATGGATGAATCTCAAAAGTACAATTCTGGACAAAAGGCAGCAGATACGAGAGATTCCATTCACACGAAGTTCAGGAACGGGCCAATTTCATCTTGAGCGAAAGAAGTTGGAACAGCGTTTACCTGTTGTAGGGGAGGGCTGGTTCTAACTGGGACCCGACACAAGCAAATCCTCCAAGGGGGATAGAAATGCTCTAGTCTCGAGCTGGGTGGTGTTTTCAAATGTAAAAGTTCATTAAGTTATATACACAGCTAAGATCTGTGCACTTTCTTACATATATTACATATTTCTATGAAAGAAATGATGATATCTTTATTTGACAATAATGGGTAAAAACATTGTATTTTTTTCTCCTGTTATGGCAGGTAAAATAACATATATGACTATACGCATGTGCATTGAGGGATGGATGAAAGATCTGGAGTAAAATGTTTATAGTGACCATCTCTTCACTTTGGGCTTTTCTGTATTTTCTGAATTACTGCATGAGAATGTACTACTTTTACAATAAAAATATAATCACCCTCTTTGAGATTGGAGGGAGAAATAAAAGGAGATATGAATTTGGTGATCTTTAGGGTGTGACAGTGAGGCTTTATTTTCTCCAAAGGCTTGAAGTCTTTGAGCCAATCGTCTCAAATTGGAACACACATAAACGCGCTGAGTCCTGAGCCCTGCGCTTTGACATGCAGTAGCTTCCTTCTCCTGGTTTTCCCTGAGTCACCTGGACACATCCTCTCGTCACTACACTCTCCACCTACCAGGCCTGGACTCCTTGTTCCAACTCAGGAACTGCACCTGGCCTGGAAACAGAAAAACCTGCACAGGAAAGAAATGGAACTGAGGCATGCTGTGGCTATGGACAAACTCAGCTACAGTCCTGTGCTTAGACGGGCAGAAAGGTCCCGCACAAGAAGAGCCAAAGAAAGCCAGCCAAGGGACCAAGAGGATGATACTGGAAGCAAAACAGAGCAGAAGAATCGCCAAATCTCAAACAGCTCCCTCATAAATTCAAACACTTCAGCCTCCTTAGAGGGTCGCACTGAGGGAACAAAAAAGCTCCAGAGATCCTATTTTCAACTTAAAAATTTGATAAAGACCGTGATCCTGTGAGGTTTTAGTATCCCACCCTTATACAAGTTCTTCTGAGAGGGTGCGATCATCAGTACTGCACCCAGTAAGGCTTCTGCCACGTCCCCACATGTCCCCACCTCTGAACTTACAAAGACCTGAGCTCCCACACAGCTCTGAGAAACTGGAAGAGGTGAAGCTGATTGAGATACGGGGGTGGGGCAGTACGCAGAAGCAGACGTGCTCAGCATTCTGAGCTCTGCAGTGGCTGTTTGGTTAAATACGTAACAAAACAATCATGCAATGAAATATTAAGCAGTCATTAAATGCTAAGTTTGAGAAACTGCTAAAGGAATGAAAATATTCAAGATATAGTAGCACTAAAAAAAGTAGGTAACAAAGACCAAAATCCCAATTAAAAAGTGGGTAAAGAATTCGAATAGACATTTCTCCAAAGAAGATACACGAATGGCCAATAAGCACAGGAAAAGATGCTCAGTATCATAAAGCCATCAGGGAAATTTAAATCAAAACCACAAGACCCACTGCATATCCATTAGGATGGCTATAATAAAAAAGAGAGATAATAACAGGTGTTGGTGAGAATGGGAGAAACTGGAACCCTCAACATGGCTGGTGGGAAGATAAAATGGTACAGACATTCTGGAAAATAATCTGACTTGCCTCAAAAGACTTACTGTATGAACCAGCAATTCCACCCCTAAGCATACATCTAAGAGAAATAAAAACATATGTCTACACAAAAACTTGTACACAAGTGTTCATAGCAACATTATACCTAACAGCTAAAAAAGAGTAAAAAACCCAAATGTCCATCAACTGAGGAATGGGTAAATAAAAGTGGCGTATCCACACAATGGAATATTATTTGGTGATAAAAAGAAATAAGTACTGATGCACACTAAAACATGGATGAATCTTGAAAACACTACACTAAGTGAAAGAATCCAGTCACAGAAGACCACATATTGTATGATTCCATTTCTATGAAATGTCCAAAAGGGATGAATTAATAAAGACAGAAAGCAGACAAGTGGTTGCCTATGGCTGGAACGACTCGGGGAAATGGGTAGCGACTGCTAATGGGTTTAGGGTATCTTTTTGGGGTGATAAAAATGTTCCAAAGTTGACTGCGGTGACGGCTGCACAACACCGTGAATATACTACATATATTAAGTTGTACACTTTAAATGGTTGAATTGTGTGGCATGTGAATTGTATCTCAATAAAGCTGTTAAAAATTAGGTTACAAATGTACAAAATTATATAAACATAAAATATGATTACATATACAAAATATGCATATTTATAAATATAAGGAGAAAAAGTGACAGACATCAATAAATAGAAAACAGTATGGAAAAGTATATATCCATATATTACCATTGCTTATTTATATGTCATAGCCCTGATTTGCTTTCTTTTCTTAAAAGCTTATTTCACTAAATCTTAAACAATGGCCATTCATTAATTTGACACACACTCACAAACAGCTATGTTTTTCATTTTTGTTTTTTTTTATTTTTGAGGAAGATCAGCCCTGAGCTAACATCCACCACCAATCCTCCTCTTTTTTTTGCTGAGGAAGATTGGCCCTGCGCTAACATCCACGCCCATCTTTCTCTAATTTGTATGTGGGATGCCTGCCACAGCATGGCTTGATAAGCAGTGTGTAGGTCTGCACCCGGGATCCAAACCAGCAAACCCCAGGCCACCTAAGCGGAGCGTGCGAACTTAACTGCTGCACCACCGGGCTAGCCCCTATGTTTTTTATTTTTGAAAAGAGCAACTTCTTCTCCAAATGCTGGAAAAAATCCCCCCCTCCTTTAACATCTTTGAACCTGAAAATGAAGCACTGTAGAACAAAGGTCCTCAAAATTTTGTCTCTGGGAACTTGTTAGGAATGCAGATTCTCAAATCCATGGCAGACCTACTGAATTAGAAACTCTGGGAGCGCGCCCAGTAATCTTGCTTGAAAAGCCCTGAAGGTGACTCTGATGCGCCCTACATTTGAGAGCCAGTGCTGTTCTAAAAACAGTTGCTGTGTTTTCACTGAAAGGTTTTCCTTCCTTCCCATGAGTTCCCATGGCCTCAACCAACTCCACGATTTGTTTGCCTACGGAAATGTATGTTCATGAAACCGGAGACTGCGACGTTCTGTACGCATTACCGGTAGTCTCAAGGCAGCTTCCTATTATACATTCCTGATGGATGGGTTTATTTTGCTTCTGAACCTGTCCTCCCAGCCACAATGTCTGCAAACAGCTGTTGAGACATCTTATCCCATTGAATGTCACTTTGCATTTAATATCACTAGAATAAAAACTCTACGGCGTAAAATCCATTTTCCTTCACCGAGTTCTCAAAATCTGCTCATATCCTGGCAACGCCGCTGTAGTCAGAATGACGTGTCTTCCTATAAACTCCCAAGGCAGGTCACCTGAACTTCTCTGGTGGCATTTCACACCTTCTATCTTATTCCTATTCTGATTTCATTTCCTTACTGGATAACAAGTCATTTGAGGATAGCAAATATCTTTTTGTCATTGTATTCCAATGCTTACAAGCATATTGGTATACTGTAAATATCTGGTATTGGATTCAAATTTCAAAACTAGGAATTTGAATCAAATTTCAAAACTAGAAATTTATCCTTGGGGAAATGACTATAAAAGGACATAAAAATCTATGCATAATGATATTCATTATAGAATAATTTAGTTTTTACTCAAGAATTAGAAATTTAGGAGCTAACACTAGGCAACAGGTTAAATAAGTTATGGAGAGAAGGGGGTGGGGACCCTGACGAGGGTGATTCATCTGAGTGGCCCTATGATTTACAGATCTGTCACTATCAGGCAGGACATTTCAGCAGAAGGAAAAGAAGGGTCTCACGTCTTTACAATTCAAGTGTATTTTATGAATAATGAGGAAACACAAGCTCACCTGGACTTTAACTTTTAGATGTGTAACAAAAATTCTTTCCTCTCTCAGGATCCTTTTTTTAGAGACAGGCAGCACTGGGAAAAGAGAAGGCAATCATGAGACATCAGGATTTTCTTGGAAAACACAGTAACTCACAAAACACCCTCCAAGACACATCCTCTCCCCAGGTCCCACACACAACCAGGTGGGCGTAGGAAGGGGCTGGAAGAGAGTTGACCGTTCCCTGTTTGAGAGAGGCCGGGGTCACTGATGTCTGGGGCTGAAGCTGTCTCTAATTCTGTCTCTAACTCAGGTTCTCGGGGCCCGAGTTCAGGAAATGCTGTGATTATGAAACAGGTAGCTGGCCCCTCCGAGGGTCCAAGGGGGGACCCTCCCAGGAGGGAATCCTACTCTTGGGACCTTATCAGGTCTTCCCGGAACCCTGCCTTGGGGCCGCATCCAGCTTCAAAAAATCAAGATCAAGTCTGTGTCTTTCTGGCACCCTCCCTTCTTCCATTCTAAGGCTCAGAATCTAGCTTCCCTTTTACTCTCAGCAGACCCCAAGTGGCTGCGAGGCGGAGGAATCAGCGGAGTCTAGAGCCACGAGTCCCCGTGACAAGCCACACGACCACACAGCCACACAAGCCTCGCTCACCCAGAGGCCACGCGGTTAAATAGCACAATCACCCAGTTAAGTAAACACAGGCAAGAGCAGTCACTGACAACACGCACAGAGTCACCTAGATCTCGACACACACACACACGCACAGACACGCCTAGACCTAGAGACACACACATCAGTCACTGACGCACAGACACACACCTAGACCTAGAGACACATACACATCAGTCATTAACACACACGCAGAGACACGCCTAGACCAAGACACACACACACAGAGACACATCTAGACCTAGAGACACACACATCAGTCAGTGACACACACAGGCACAGAGACACGCCTAGACCTAGACACACACACATCAGTCACTGACACACATGCACAGAGACACGTCTAGACCTAGACACACACACACATCAGTCAGTGACACACACAGGCACAGAGACACGCCTAGACCTAGACACACACACACATCAGTCAGTGACACACACAGGCACAGAGACACGCCTAGACCTAGACACACACACATCAGTCACTGACACACATGCACAGAGACACGTCTAGACCTAGACACACACACACACATCAGTCAGTGACACACACAGGCACAGAGACACGCCTAGACCTAGACACACACACACATCAGTCAGTGACACACACAGGCACAGAGACACGCCTAGACCTAGACACACACACACATCAGTCACTGACACACACACACGCCTAGACCTAAAGACACATGCACATCAGTCACTAACACACACGCAGAGACACGCCTAGACCAAGACACACACGCAGAGACACATCTAGACCTAGAGACACACACATCAGTCACTGACACACACAGACACACGCCTAGACCTAGACACACACACACACAGACACGCCTAGACTTAGACGCACACACACACACACACACACACACACACAGAGTCACTGACACACAAACGGACAGAGGCACGCCTAGATCTAACACACACACACACACACACACACACACGCAGTCGCTCACAGGCACACCCGTCTCCCCCGCTGCTCACGCAGGACAGGCCTGAGGCTCCGGGCCCGCCGCCCTGTCCGCGGCCGGAGCGCCCCGGCCTGGAGCGCCTCTCACCCCCTCCGCAGGGTCCCGTCCGGCCGTAGTCAGGGACTGTGGAAGCCTCCGCTGACGTTCTCTGCACACATCCTACTCAACACGTAGGGACCACAGCAGCTCAGACACCGGAAGAGGACCCAGGGGTCGAGGGTGATGCGCGCCCGATGGCTTCTGGGAAATGTAGTCCAGCCGGAGGAGTCATGCCGGCGGGCAGCCCGAGGGCTGGAGCCCGTGCTCGGAGAGCGCAGGCGCGGGCCCTGACCGGTGGGTGGTGGTGGGTCCACGTGGTCCTGCGTGCGTGGAGGAGGCGGGTGGGATTAGAGACCAGGCTGTAGAAGGCAGAGCAGGGGCGGGCGGACTCCAGCGCCTCAAACCCGCATGCCACCTACCTGGGTAGGGTCCGTGGGTGTGAGCTTTGTGAGGATGGGGACTTTTGTCCTCGCCCCCCCAAGGGAGCACAGCAGGCGTTAAGGATGCTTTCATTTTGAAGAAAGCCTGCTTGGGCCTCTGTAGGTGTGTTTGTGTTTTCGTTCTCCGTCACATCGTGGGACCCGTGGTGTGTCTGCAGCCGAGCGTGGGGTTGTGTTTCTTATGTGGTTTGTTTCGGATTTTGTTTTGGATGTGAAAATGATTTGTGTTTCAGATTTTGAGATCATATTAAATTTATTAAAGCCCTCTTCCTCCCCGCCCCTCCACCCCCACCCCAAAATTCCTCATGTCCAGTGACTTAACCTTTTTCTCTCCACTAAAACCCGAGTTTGGCCGACTTTTGCCCAAGATGCATCCTGCAGGGCCTACTCATCCACTAGGCACAATAGGGGAAGTGCGTAGGGCCCACAATACTTGTAGGGGGCCACAAAAAATTCTTTTAAAATTAGAATTAAAGATGAATTTTTAAGTCAAAGAAAATGTTTAAATCGAGCTTCCCTCATGTGAGCCCCTCTGTGGCTCCAATATGGAGTGGAGTATTTCCTTCCCCAGCTGAATGAGAACCTTGAGAATGAAATTTGAACACGTGTTTTAGTATCCTAATGAAAATTTATTTCCAAGTCTATTTTGGAATAGGCAGTAAAAAGTTTGAATGCTTTTGTGACTGTGTGAAATTATATAATAGGATCCACTTGTGGGGGCTTATGAAATTGTGACTTTAGTTATGAGATTGTATGTTTTTATCTGTGAGTATGACTTAAAATTTATGGGATGTTTTGAAAGATGTGCTTTTCTTGTGTGTGTTTTGTGGAGATTGTGAATGTGATTCACTGTGTGAACAAGACTGTTGAGTAACTGCGTGACTCTGAGCTAAGTATGTGTGATTTTGATTATATGAACATAAAACCCTGTGACACTATGACTGTGTATTTGTGAGTGACCATAAGCCTTTTTAAAACTCTTGTCAACAATGAAATAAAGAGAGGAATGTTGTATCTTTTTGGAGCAATAACTTACGTCAAGATTTGGGTAAAAGAGGATTTGCGATTTATGTGGCAAATCATTTGGATATTTTATATTCAATAGATTTTTTTTTTAAGGAGAAGAATACAAATCATACCTTGTCAAATAAGAAAGAATTCAGAGTCACATACCCTGTATGCAAAAGTTTGTCGCTTTTGTGTCCATCTTAGTCTCCCAGAGGTAGGCTTCCATTCTCCTAAGTCTGAATGAATTTTTAGTGGATGTGTTTGGAAAACCCTGGACTAAAAGCACAATTTAAGCTTGGAGAGGCAGTTTGGCTTAGAGCAGAGAAGTAGGACGAGGCAGTCATGTCCTGAATTCTATGTCAAGCAGCTTTGTTACTTCTATTTTCTGAAGGGGAAACTGTGACTCAGAGAAGACAACATGTTTCAGACCATTCGATTTGTCCATCAGAGAACTACTTGCCGTATTTCAAAGTATAGGTAATTAATACATTGTTATATGTATTCCAATGAAATGCAAAAATAGTTCTATTTCCTGTGTAAGGCCTTATCACTGTTAAAATATGGCAACTTTGAATGGCAGAGTGGTCATTATCAGTGATAATAGTTCTATCTATGGTGTTCCCATTCTCCACATTAACTTTTTAAATTATATTTCCTTTTATTTTTAATAACATACTAAAATACTTCAGTATGCATCTCCTAAAAATAAAGATTTCTTAAAGAATTAATTCCTAATGAAATTACTGCGACAGAGGTTATATACGTATTTAAGACACTTTCTACATGAAACTTTGCCAGACAGATGAGTAATGTAAGCAGAGAGATGCAAATCGTAAGAACGATCCAAAGGAAAATACTAGCTATGCATGTTCATAGTGGCATTATCCACAACAGCCAAAAAGTGGAAGCAATCCAAGCATCCACCGATGCATGAATGGAAAAACAAAATGTGTATATACCTACAATGGACTAATATTTAGCCTTAAGAAAGAAGGAAATTCTGACACATACTATAACATGGATGAACCTAGAGAACATCATGATAAGATAAATAAGCAAGTCACAAAAAGATAAGTACCATATGATTCCACTTATGCAAGGTACCTAGATTGGTCAAATTCACAGAGACAGAAAGTAGAATGGTGGTTGCCAGGGGGCGTGGGAAGGAGGAATGGGAAGTTACGATTTGATGGGTTTTGTTTCAGTTTTGCAAGACGAAAAGAGTTCTGGAGATGGATGGTGGTAATGGTTGTGCAACAATGTGAATGTACTTAGTACCATTAAACTTAAAAATGGTTACACTTAAAAATGGTTAAATGAAATTTTATGTTGTGTGTAATTTACCAAAATTTAGAAAAATAATAAAAACAGAAATGCTAGAAATGAAAAACACTGACAGAAATGTAGACTCCTTTTGATGGGATCACCAGTAGACTGGACATGGCCAAAGAAAGAACCAATGAGCTTGAAGATGTGTCATTAGTAACTTTCTAAATTGAAATGCAAAGAGAAGAAAAATGGAAAAAAAAAAAGGAAAGTAGAACAGAATATCCAAAAACTTGGGAACAAATACAAAAGGTGTAAGAGATCTCTCTCCCCCCACCCCCACATATATATATACAGGAAGGAGAAGAGAGATAGAGGAGCAGAAAGAAATATTAATAATGGCTGAGATTTTCGGCAATTAATGACAGACACTAAACCACAGATCCAGAAAACTTAAGATAAATACCAAAAACTACAGTTAGGCATATCATATTCAAACTTCATAAAGCCAATGACAAGAGAAAGTCATAGAAAGAAGCCAGAGGTGGGAGTTGCACCTGACCTATAGAGAAACAAAGATAAAAATTAAATCAGACTTTAGAAAACATGCAAACAGGAAGTGAAAATTTAAAGTGTTAAAGGAAAAAAACCGCCAAGCTAGAATCCTATATCCAGTGAAATTATTCTTCAAAAGCAAAGGAGAAATAAAGACTTTCTCAGACAAGCAAAAACTGAGGGAATTTGTCACCTGGAAACCTGCCTTTCAAGACAGGTTGAAACAAATTCGTCAGAGAAGTAAAATGATACAGGTCAGAAACTCAGATCTACATGAAGAAAACAAAATCACTAGAGAAGGAATAAATGAAGATGAAATCTTTTATTTTTCCTCTTATTGATCTAATATATAACTGTTCAAATAACAACAATGTGATTATAGCATATGAATGGGTGAATGATAGCAGTGTTATAAGAGATGAGAGAGGCATTGAGTATACTCTATTATAAGGTACGTGCACCACCTGCTGTTAGATGTGATGTTCAGGCTTCCGAACTCAAACGTTCAGAACAGCAATATTCATTGTAGCCAAAAAGTAGAGACAACCCAAATACACAGCAACTGATGTAGTATATGCATACAACCGAATATTATCTGATACTAAAAAAAAATGAGGTACTGATACACGCTACGGCATGATGAACCTTCAAAACCTTGTGCTAAGTGAAAGAAGCTAGTCACAAAATAGCACGTTGTATGATTCCATTTATGTGAAACATCTAGAATATGTAAATCTATAGGGACAGTAAATAGATTAGTGGTTACTTAGGTCTGGGAATGGGTGGGAGGATGAGAAGAGTTAATGAGTTTGGGACTTTAGATTGCGGTGATGGATGCACAGCTCTGTGAATATACTAAAACTGATTGTACATTTTAAACGGGTGAATTGTATGGTATGTTAATAATATTGCAATTAAGCTGTTTTATAAAAGAAATTTATTAAATAGAAAGAAGAAAAACAATAGAATCAATGAAACCCAAACCTTGTTCTTTGATAAGCTCAATAAAGTTAACAAATGTATAATCAGACTAAAAAGGAAAAAGAAAGGAGCAGACACAATTAGCAAGACCAAGAATGACAGAGGTGACATCATTACAGATTGAACAGATATTAAAAGAATAATAAGGAAATATTACATAAAACTTCATGGTTATATATAATCTGACAACTCAGATAAAATGGACTGATTCCTTAAATGACACAAACTGCCAGAGTATTCAAGAAGAAATAGCTAAACCAAGTATCCAAATATGTATGAAAGGAATTGAATTTGTAATTAAAATCCCAACCCCCTTCACCCCCCCCCCCCCCCCCCCCGCAAAACCTCTAGGCCCAAATGACTTCACTATTTGATAAAGATCATCTACAAAATACATATAACTTACTAATTACAAATGCTGATGCTAATAGTAATTACTATTACTAAGATTTAATGAAATCTACAAAATACTATGATAATTTATAAATTAGTTTAGCAAGGCTATATACAAGATAGCAGGTTAATATACACATGGTATTGTCATTACCGGTAGTATTTGTTCAATTGGAAATTGGATAAAAAATACCATTTATAATAGGAACAAATATACAAAATACATAGGAATAAATATAACAAAATAGGTGCAAGACCTGTACTCTGAAAAATATTTAACATCTCAGAAAATTAAAGACAAATAAAAAGAGAAAGATTATGTTCATTTATTAGAAGGCTATGTATTGTTAAGATGCCATTCCCCGCCCCCCCATTATCTAGTTTCAAACATTCCCTATCAAACTCTCATAAGGCTTTTAAAATAGATTAATAAAGTGATTTTTAAAATACTTGGAAATGCAAAGAATGTTGAAAGGCAAAATACTTTTGAAAAAGAAGAAAACATTTGGTGTATTCACATTTC